AACAAGAGCATAAAAAAAAAAAGAAAAGTCAATACTTGATACGAAAAGGTTTGTCATCCTTTGTTACAGTAAACAAATTTCAAAACATTTCTTCAATAAACAAAAGACAAAATAAATTTTTAAATTCTCAGTGAGGTATATTAAATTGAAAAATGTTACTCAGAAGAGCTGAAATTACTTTCTATTTCAGCAGAAATAAATTTGAAAAATATTGAAAGGATTGGAAAATCATAAATTTAACAACAGAAATCCAAATGAGGGGAGTGGGATGAAAATTATTGGAAAGCATCAAACGGACAATGAGTGATGGTAGATACAGAAGGAATGAAAATTCACAAAAAGTAGGAATGGGTAAGAATGAAGTTGACTGGAGATGTTTAATGAAAGTTGTAGTTTTACCTTATTTCACTAAACATTAAATACACTGAAATAAATACTAGCAGTAAGGAAAATAAATGTAAAAGCTCAATTTACTATAAAAATTGTAGCTACACAAAGAAAGTAACTATGTTAAATACAAGAAACATTAGAATGATCAGAGAATGAAGGTTAAAGAATAATAATTTTTATAAATTTTTTATCAAGGATTAGCATTTAAGATGTCGCTGACTTCTAAAATGCTAACGTTTTCTAAAGATAATATTGTTAACTTATAATTTCCTTATTGAATGTTACAATTCAATATAGGAATACAAGACACTCAGTAGTTAGGAGAAAGCTCTGTATATAATTTAAACAAAATTTAATAATAATTTTGCTATTTTGTGACCTCCCAATGAATATTATAAAATTGTTTTGATGGAAGGCCTTTTTAAGTTTATTTCTCACCATTGCTGGAGAAATAGTGCTGTTTTACATCAAGAGTGAGAGATATATGATTTTTTAAAACATTGTTTCGTTACATAGATGGTTATTTATATCATGCAATGCTTGCTGCATGATGCTACATACACTATCAGAAGCGTAATGTAGGTATTTAAGCACTCATGGGAAGCGTTAGAATTTGACCCCAGTTTCGAAACTTAACATTAGAGTTGTTATTTGTTGTAGTGAGTATATTCTAAATACTGCCCCTTGTGAGTGGCACCCATTGCATATGCCATGTCTGCCATGTAGAAGATATGTCTCTGCTTATTATTTCAACTCTGAGGAAACTTAAAGTAAATAAACTGTTATGTTGGCATTAGTAGACAAAAAGAAACTGAGTTTTATGGACTTACATGGGTATGCACTGAGGGGAGACCAGAGGACCAATGGCTCTCCCTGAAAATTTTGAGGGGAGCCCCATATTATTATGTAATAAAACATTTTATGTCGTTAAACAATGTTCAGCCCTAATTTTCTTCCTTCCCTGACAATTTTGGAAACATTATGAGACCTGTGGGAAGAGTCCTTCCAAGCAACTGTGTAAATTGTTTTAACATAATAATTTGCTTTATTAAGAGTAACATT